AGAGATCAGTCACCGCCAGACTCCGGAAAAAAAGTTTTGTTGGAGGATAAATAGACATGACTTTAGGCAGTGCAATTAGGAGAAGAGCATTGCCCAATGTCGCAACGATGGCGAGAACTATGTTTAAAGCTGCGAGAAAAATAGATAAGCCGCTTGGAGCACTGCTTATGTAATGCAAGATTTCTGTACTGACAGTGTAAGCTTTATCTTCGGCAGTGACGTTCGCCATTGATGCCCGTGTTTTGTGATGGTTCTCAACTTATGTCAGCTCGGAGTTATTAATGTATTGATCATAAAATCCTTCGAGAAAAAAGATTAACTTATATTAAAAATCTGAGACCCATCTGCTTCTCTCTCCAAGTCGTTAACTGTTGAGATCGCATTTCAAACTCTCGCCAAAAGGTTTGATCTCCTGATATTTCTCAATTATCCGCAACGACGGGGAAGTACAAGTCAAAAGCGGTTCGTTTGTTAAATGACAGGAGTTATTTTGATCAAATCACCAGTCATTTCCGCTATTTGTCGTTGGGAATTAATAACTTAGTAGGTGTCATCCCACATTTAACAGATGCATCATAAATTATGTTTCTTGTTATCTTTTTAAATTTATGAAGTGGGTTGTGCCGCAGAAGGCCTTAGTGCCAGAGTTCTTTTTATATTGGCAACATCATAAATCTTGTTTTAAGTAATAATTTTAAATCTATGGATTACCGTGGGATGGAAAGACTCTTAAAACACAAATTCTTTTCCAATTGGAAACATTAGCTCCCCGCTCAGACATCTTGGCGCCCAGAAATTTACCGATCAAGAAGAAAACGAAAAAAATTAGAGGCATCGCAATATTATTTCAAATAATTAACAATTATTCAGGGAAGTGTAGGTGGTAACAGTGGATACGTCTGAACTGTGAAGTGGCGAGGTCACTTCGATCACTTTCACTGACATGGGGGTGAATAATTTTTATTTGGTATACGTACCACACAAAAACCTAAAAAAATTGGTTTATTTCTATCAAAATACCAAAAAATGGTCAGAAATTAATGAAACTTCTTGATGCAGGATGTTTTCTCTTCGCCTGCTTGCAGGTGATTGGTGTTTGTTTATCACTTGCGAACTAGCCAATCAGTGCACTGAAGAAGTATTCACCTGTGTGGCATATACTAAAAGTCATTATTGCGAGTTTTATTTTGTTTTGTTTTGTTTTTGATTTTTTGAAGCGTTTAGACCATTTGAATAATTTTGTGTTCCGTCAGGTATCTGCTTATACTTACTTCGTAAAAGAAAAGATGGGGGCGTTTTGCACCAAAATTCACCTCTTAGAAATGTAATTAATTGGCTTTCTCTTCATGAAAATTACGTTTTCCACATGTCAGTTTGGACTGACAAACTTAAGACTACATTATTACACAGAACTGTCAAGGGCATACAGAATTCAAATAGATCATTGTTAGTAAACTTGCTTCTACTAAAGCTAGATAAAATATTTAGACCTGTTTAAAAAGTACAGTTCAAAATTGACCTTTTGGATTTAAGCGTGACGCTGGAAAATGCGGTAAAAAGCGCGCTCATGAGCCACGAACTTTTAGATTTTCGTGCGGCGTTTTGTAAGTTGGGGATATATTTGAGGAAGGTGGGGGGGCAGTTTACCTAAGGGGACTTAGTAATAAGAATGGAAAGACAAAACGCCAATAAAATAACATTTCGCCACAAGCTAATCCCGAACCATGTTTAATTCAACACTCTGATTTTAACTGGAATCCCATCCGACTAAAATTCATTCAAACCCAGCTAAGAAATTATTCTAACCGCCATTGTCATTCCAGCATGCCTCAAAGGGGAATGTACTGTTATTAAGCTTGAAATGAAGACAGAGGGGTAGAATAAACAGGAAGGAATTGCGTGAAAATCTGACAGAATTAATTCAACCTATGACTTTCAAAACACCTGGTAACTGTGAACATATCCTTTTTGTACTGATCCTTCACCAAGAGAGCTCATTCCTCCTTTGAATCATATCAGGGACCTTAATAGTCAGCACGGCGACGGCAAGGAGGACGTCGATAAAAAAAACGAATTTCTACTTTTAATTAGAATTTCGAAAATGGCTGCATGTGTTTACCATCTCATGATCATACGGCGCCACAACCCAACCTCAACATAACGTATAAAAGTAGCGTTGAGTTCCAAATGGAAATTAAAATGATTTGCCGTCGCGGTTTCGGTTCACAGACGACGTAAATTTTGGTGAATTCACGTTGTTTTTTTGCAAAGGACGGCAAAGAAATGTTCTAAGTTTCAAAATGCACGTGCTGAGCAATTATTATTAGGGACTTTAAGCAATCAGGACGGCAACGCCACGGAAGACGTCGATTAAAAAATGAGTTTCTACTTTTAGTTAGAATTTCGAAAATGGCTGCATGCGTTTACCGTCTCATAGGGCGCCAGACCTCAAACTCAACATAACGCATAAAAGTAGCGTTAAGTTCCAAATGTAAATTAAAATAATTTGCCGCCGCGGTTTCGCTTCGTAGACGACGCAAATTTTGGTGATTTCACGTTGTTGTTTTGCAAAGGACGGCCAAGAAATATTTAAACAAAGTTTTAAAACGCACGTGCTGGGCTATTGTTCTGCCAATTAGATCTACTGTTTATCCACGTTCTCGTTGCCGTAGCCTCGTGGCTTGCTTAAGGTCCCCACTAATTCAGTCAAAGTCTCCGAATCATTTCACCCCGAAATGACGAGTAATCAGTATTATTCTTTTAAATTCATTTTCTCTGAACTCGAAATTTTTAAGTTCAAACATGCTAGCAGGATATTTCATTCGATATCATCCGCTCCTCTCCAGAATTTAAAAGAGATTTTCACTGAAGCCTACAAAGAACACATTAAACTTCTCAAACGTGATTAGAGTTTTGTTTTTCGTAGCATTAAATGAAGGTCCCTTAGGTCTCAAATCTTTGTTTACGAAAAGATAAGGAGCTGGGGTCACGCTATATGAGAATGTTTGCAAAACATTGACAGCTGGATGGCTTACTGTGGAAGCTAAATGTTGGTTCTCAATGTATATTAGCTTTCTGCCCAAAAAATAATTCTAAAATACTATAATAGTCGCTTCTATAACCTTCCATGTATGGCTTTCTCCATGCTAACATAACCGAGCTTCAGTTTTTTTTTTAAATTCTGTTTTGTTTGTAAGGAACTATTCAACCCGTGGGGCAGTCGGTTAACAACATGCTGAAAGCTTATTGAATGTGCAAGAGTACACAAATTTTCATCCAGTTGTATTTTAAGTGCCATGTTTTTTGAATCTCCATCAATTCGACATGTATTCAACAGCTGAAAACTAAAGTTCGAGTGAGGTTATACTTCTTGTTATTCAAAATGTGGAGGTGCTACAAAAACAACATTAACAACAACCAATATCATCTAAAAAACCTGAAAACTTATTTAAAAACTTTTCGGACTGAAAAATTGGAAATAAAAGAAAACTATACAGTCACACCTTCAAAATTAAACATTCAAACGAAAAGAAAAAAAGATGTCTTTTACGGTTATGCAGTTCCGATCTTTGTAGCGGAACAAATAAGAACCGAGATATAGACCGGATGTATGGCTTCAAATTCACCTGCCGTGTTTGCAAATTTGTTGCTTGACTGAGCCAAAACTTTCCTTCGTGAGTGAAAATGTCTTTTCTGCATTTATTATATCAACCTGCGCGTCACATGTCTGATTCACACGTTCAATAACTAAGCATGGCAACAGATCTTCCTCTGTGACGTACCAAGACATTGATACGACTACCTAGTCAAAATTATACAGCGCTTTATTATTTGCTTTATTGTGATTTTTTTTTGGGTTGCTCACACAATCTAGATTTTCAAAATATATGAGACATTTGGCGCTGTCATGAAAAATGCGTCTTTTAAGTGTCGATTTTTTGTTGTAATCACCGTTTCACGCCCGACCAAGTGGGCGTAGAATGAATTAAACTTCTCGCAGTCGATTTCAATTCACGGGAGGATTTTATTCAATTAGAAGAGAGCTAAAAGGAAGTTCGGACTGGCAAACTTGACCACGATTTAACTTGACGAAAATTGCCGCGAGTTTGTTTATGCTTATCTCAGCTTGGATAAAAGTTTAAAGGATAAAAGTTTGCCAAATTCAGACCTTGAAATTAATTTTTGCTGGTTACGTGACCTTGACTGTATCAATAAAGTGCGACTACAATTCCATTAGGAAGTACAAACCCTTTTAATTGACGATAATCAACACAGTGTTTTGAAAAAAACATGATTATAGCCTCCTCACATTTTACAATTCTACGGAACAATTATGTGTAGACGCAAAAAAATACGCATGTTCAACATGTGGGAAAAAAAAATAAAACAAAACTCAAAAATTTTGAGCGTGCAATGAATAACTTAGACTCAATTTACCTTTATTCCAAAGGCAACCGAGTCTTAATTGAGACACGAATATTTTTCATCCTTTCATATCGAGAATTTAAGCCTGCTTAGCGGACTAAGATTTCCGCTTGATACCAACTCATATGGAAAATTTAAGTGACTTCTTTACTTTCTTCAGATCGAGCTTTCTAAAAGCTCCGGATCGCGTGATCTCACCAAAGTTTTCAGTTTAATAGGCAACTGCCACTGGCATTGGAGTAAAAATTACCGAGAGGCAAACGATTCTAAAGCCATTCTTTAGACATAACATTTACATAATCGCAATTGAAACCAAAGGTTTAGTTGGGGGGGTGGGGGTGGGGGGAAGCGGGGGCGCGTAAAAACGAAGAGCGATACTGGGAAGAAATGGTCGTTACGCACACTAGAAAGGCGTGTGAGAAAGGCGAGGAACGACAAGATTTGGAATAAAAAAAACCAAGCTTTGGAAGCACGTAAAAATTGAAAGCTACGAAATCGCCATAATAAGAAAGAGTAAGTAACAACAAAGAGTAAGGTACCTACGGTATATTTGTTAGTTGGTTATATCTACTTACTTGACCTCCATCGCCAGCGCTATGATCCCAGAAGCCAATGCAGTCGCCGCAGAAGTGGCTTCAAATGTTGATGAACAGGTGCTATCAAGATCTGAAGTGATCTGGAAAAAAAAAAAAAAAGAAGAAATTAGGAGAGAGAATAAAAGTCTAAGCATGTGTTTTCAGTTACGACAAACGGAAAAGGTGGATACTTTTCTCAGTATCCTCGAATTCACCTCGACGAGCAAAACAAAATACTTTTTGCCTTTTTTTGCCGATGCAAAATTGGCACAAAAGTCTGAAAGCAGAAGCCAAAAGGAGCAATTGTTCCCTTAACGCCATGTCCAACCACTCTGCTGGTTGTGGAAAGGATTTTCTACAATTTTCTGTTGGTTTTATTTCACATTAAGAACAAAAGTGAGCGGAATCAGACGAACATTTTTCCGTTCATATTTGCAGTAAGAGAGGTCGTTCTAAATCTCTCCAGTGTGTGTGAGTGTGTGGCAGGGAACGAGGGGGAGAGGCAGACAGCATGATTAGGAGAGCTCGCAAGGCTCACTTCTTATCCCTAAAGTAACGTTTAATTCCTGGAAATTATTCAGAAAGATTGTCTCCTGGTTCTCCAGTTCTCTCCCTCTCTTAAAAGAGTCTTAAAAACCGACGCGCCCGTCGTAATTCCACGTGGGATCAGAGAATGAGGAGCTACTTTGGGTAGGTGTTTTTAAGCAAAACCGTACTCTCAATTATCTTTAATTTAAGCAAACTTTTCATCTAAACACTGACTTTTGTAAACAGTGTCCGGAAGACATTAAGGTTACAACCCACTCACAGAGAAACTCTGAGGTTCCCTGCGTCATCAAACTCGCGCTAAAAGTTACCCCGGTAGGCTGAAAATCAACCGGCCTTAACTAACTAACTTACGAACTAACAGACATGCTTACGATTGAGTCGACTCCTCTCTCATTATCCTGGCTGTAAGTTGCAGCCATCACAGCGGAGCACCTCTCTGCATATCCTGGGATACTTCCATTCTTATTGACTCCAGATACTGTTATGGTAAACACACTGTTGGCATATCCATTGTAAGCACAGCTATCATACTGTCGTCCTCCATTTCCAGCGGCAAAGACAAAAATCGATCCCTTGCCAAGTCGACCCTGGCCACGAGGAGTGACAAGTTGCACCATAACATTTCATAAAACGTTCAAATGTACATAGTCAGAAAATGTAATTATTAATAAAATATTAAAAAAGACTGGTGAAATGGTGAAAGACCCTCAAAATGCAAAGCTATGATACAAATGCTGAATGAAAAAACCTTGATTTAAAAAGATCAAGCAGTGGTGACTTGCATAGCTGCAATGGAACGCAAATGTAATTGCGAAAGGCTATTAGCCTCTAGAAGAAGACTTCTTCGTGGAATTAACTACATTCATACATTATAAAGGTCACTGGAGGATCCCTGAACCTCGTTTCTAGGAGACCTGGGAAACTGGCAGAGGATCCCTTAGATACTCACTGTTTTGGTCCCTTCTTCCAACTGGCCCCTTGCAAGTTCGCCAGGTCCCTCCATGTCCCACCCGGTGTCTTCTGGACCCCAGCTGCATGAATAGATATCCATATAGTCTCGCTTGTATTCAAAAGCTAATGCTTCCATGGAATCTGTTGAATCATCGTCTTCTTCTCCAAAAATACGAATACCTACACAGATGTGAAGATACACCAACTAAAATATTTGATCAAGCAACTACGAATTCGAGATTCAGCTTGAGTCGCTGAACTTGAAATACATCAACTCGGTAGATACGCCGCGTTGCACAAAAACACAGATTAGAACTCTTATCGTATCGAGTGTCGTAACACCGAAACCCACGTTATTACAGTAGCCAATCAGGAGAAAGGGAAATACCGTAGGAGCCAATGAGAACTCAAAGCCGTGATTGGTTTTACTTTTCTATCTGATTGGTTGAGAGAGTGGCGCCAGTTTTCTTGACCAATCACAGACCGAAATAAAGCAAAACCAAAGCTAACCTGAATTACTTTCAACACTCAATTGAAAATTGTTCTAGGCGCTTTGCCCCTGAATTAAATAATTACCTCCAAGTCTGGCGTTAAAGGCAACTCCTACACCGCATTCAGTATTGTTAGCAGAAGCTGCAATCACTCCAGCACAGCGGTTACCATGCCTACAAGAGAACACTTCGGCAGTTCACAGAAATGAACGCCTTTCCCAAACCTCTGACAAAATGACTAACTAAAGTTCACAAAAACCAAGCATACCCTGAAAAATTCCCGATTGGATCAGGTATTTCATCAAAATCCACTAGATCAAAACTTGCTGAGGGATCCTGCAGAAAATTGTGAAATTATAATGAAATCAGTAATTAAATAATGAAATGGGTAAGCATCAAACAAATACTTTCCAGTAACAAAAAAGGCCACGATATGATGAATCACAAATGCAAGGAAAATGAAGGCATTAAAACACTGTGAAACTAACTTCAAGTAAAACTCCTTGAGGACCCTTGAGCGGTGGAATGAAAGAAATCCAAGCATCTCTTTCATTCATCAATTCGTCTGCTGATGCCTCCCCCCGTCTCCTGCTTTTTTTAATAATAGCATTCCAAATTGTTTTGAACCCATCAAAAGCTAAAAAGAACTCAAATCCTATTTGGAGCATTTTTGAGATCAAATAAATAACACTTCCTACTGTTATCTGAAGGAAAGTACCTCTGTCAGTAATGGTAATACTTTCTAACTTGTAATAAGCATTTTTTGTCCTTATCTTAGCAAGAGTTATCCAATGCACACCAAACTAGAAAAAAATTCCTGCACAAGAATACTGAGACTTACATAATTATCTTCAAGGTCAGGATGAGACTGTTGTAGGCCATCATCAACAACTGCGACAACAATCCCTTTCCCAGTTACACCCTGTTGCCACGCCTCGTTAATATTCATTCCTCTCCCACCAGGAGGATTCTGTTAAAATTGTGAGTTGTGTGAAACAAAAATATATCATAATACAAATAATTATTTTTGATATGCAGCTTTACTTGTAAACTGTCATTAAATGTATTAATTCCATTAATGTTTTTAATAATCCAATAATAAGTTCAAAATCTTTTTTTTTTTTTCTAGCCAGGTAAAATGACAAAAAGCACCAATGGTATCTAAATTCTAAAAAGCAAAGAATAGAAAAATGAAGAGGACATTTCTTTAACAAACAGTTGTTATCCTTCAAAGTAACAAAATAGGCTTGTGTATGATGCACGATCCTATTTAATACCGCAGTTCAAAATATATGAACTTCATATATTCATTGTATCTAAAATAGGCTTGACTATAAATTTTAAACTTTATACTCACCAGATACCACATCTGGTCCCTCCACCTTGGATCATTAAAGGACAGAGACATTGCTTGATCATAAAGAGCCCTTTCCTGCCTTATTTGCTGGGCAAACCACTTCACCTACACCCACGAGATACAATCAAGAATAAATGGACAACTTGGACAAAGCGATTAAATGCAAAATTAATATCACTTGTAGGAAAATACAATTTTAGGCAACTTGTTTAAATCTTTTTGGAAAACTAACGTAATTTTTTTCTTTGGTTCAAAGAGGTGTAAAACTTGGAATCAAAGATAATGTTTTAAAAGTGAAACCAGAACGGTGATTATAACTTAATACACCATACAAGTCTAATAAATGAATCATTACTTTACATAATAGATACCGAACTCTTGGACTCATTGATATACAATTTTATTTAATCTTGCCCTTATAACTTCTCTGCCTCTTTTCTTCTACTATTACAGTCATGGTGGTTATAGTCAGTGTGTCATGACACTGACTAACTTCACCTTCTCAGACACTTACACAGTTATTATTATTAGAATTATGAATATGATCGGTATATACAACACGTCAAGTAAATAACTAGTGCTTTTTGTGCACACAGATTGACTGGTTTGAAAGTGATAAGCAAGTACCATTTACCTCTAAGCAGCTGAAGGGACAAAATTGCAAGTCAACAATTTTAGTTTCTGACCATTTTTTGGTATATTGACATAATTATGTAACTTGATTTTTTTCAGTTTCTGTGTGGTATATACTTATTAACAATTATTCAACCCAGTGTTCGTGAATTGGTGGTGGATTCCCACCAATAACGTAGCTCCTTTTTCTGCCTTTAAAAGCACACACAACCCACAATTCCTCTATTCGCTCCGACGAAGGGCTAACGCTCGAAACGTCAGCTTTAGTAATCATTACAGTGGCCAATTTACCATTTCAACTTTGTTGATATATCCAAATTATTAAATATTCATCACTATATTCACCTCCACTTCAGTGAATAATTGTTAATTAACATTATCATTGTGATATTATAGAATCATTAATCATCTTTGTTGTGTTGCTGTTGCATTTAACACTATTATTGCAGTTTCATAATTCAATAAAATGGCCACATCTTCAATTCCACTTTGCCATTTATTCCCTATCATAGTTTTATGTATTTATTCATCTACATGAACAGAGTGCTACACATGTTCCAATCTGATTGTGTCCAATTTGCTGTTGAAGTGCAAATACCATATTCTCTATCGTATCTAATTTTAAGGTATGACAGCCTAAATTTCTAGTAGCTGAGAGTAAAAACAAATATATATGCCAACCACTGGTTCTTGGCTCAGGCCATCTGTGTAAGTGTAACTTGGATGTGAAGAAATCTGTGGAAGGTCCTTGTGCTCAAAAAGATGGTAATTGGAGTAAAGCTGAAAATCAGCGAAAACAATTAAGGACAGTTTATTGGAGAACAAACTCAAATTATCATTATCACAATATCAATGTTGTCAAGATCTTTAAATTCACTGTTATAGGCTTTAAAGCATTTTCTCTGAGCCTTGTTATTCAAAGCTTGGTTAAGATAACCTGGGTTAGTGTGAAATCTGATATCAGATCCAAAAGCTTTAAAAGAAAGTTCAGTATTAATTTTTCATCTACAATTTGATGACAGGATGCTCTTAAGAGAAGACTGAGGGAAAATAATCCCCAAAAGGCTTTTGAATAAAGGAATACAGAAAGGGAATTAAAATTTAACCTTGGGTGTGCCCTAATTGGCCTATGAACAACTGGTCCCTGCTGGTGTCTTATCTTACTTACACCACCTTGTAGATTGAGGACTGCCAAAAAGTACCTTCATTTTATAATTAAATCCATTCATTTCAGCAATATCCTTTACAGAGTTGATATCTCCATCAATCTTTACAGCCCAAGTGTTGGTATATCTCAGTTCTCTCTTAGATATACAGGTATAGGACAAAGCCAGAAGGAAAAACAGCTTTAAGAATGCCATCTGATAAGAAAAGAGTGAGGGAGAAGTCTGGAAAAAGAAAAAAAAAAAACACCATGTAAAAGTTACATATATTACCTTACAGTCAACCTTCACTTGTGCTTTTGTTCTTTACGACCACATGGAATCTATTTGAACACCACGCAAGTACACTGAAGTAATTTTCTAACAACAGTAACATAGTAGGGTCATGGATCAATGTCTGTTGCATTAAATACACAAGTCAGATTTATAAAATACCTTATTATCGAAGTTACAAAAATGAGATACGAAAACGCAGCGACTCTTTTCAAATAGCCTTTCTAGCAATTGCCATACATAAATGAAATAAAAGTTAATATACCTACTGTTCAAAAATATAAACAATGTCTTGTGTTGTCATGAAGTAACTGGGCGAAGTTTTCAGACAATAACCTTACAACACAGCTGTTTAAACATCGAGCACACAGCTGCGACCTCCAAGGCTTTTCAGTAAAACTTTAATTTTCAGATCTACCCGTAAAAGAAAAGAAACAGTCCTTCAAGAGAGATGAAGTGAAACAGCGTGATCATGGAAAAACTTTGTTAATTGTGCATGTCATTTTCGCGATTCATCGCGATGGCGTTAGGCAGTTTTTAGACTCCGATAATCGCATAATTCGCCATTATCTAATACGCCGTCCTTTCAAGCACTGAAAGGTAATCACGGATAAAAAGCGTAAGAAGATCTACAAGAACCTTGCATACTCTCAGCGAAGTTAACAGCCTTGAATCTAAGGTTGCTAATTGTCTACAGGTAAAAAATTACCTTATTAAGGATCACACTTTAAAAATTTCGTTTTGAAATCATTGAATGTCGTCGATCAAACTCGGCTGCCTCTGCATGCTTTAAAAAGTAAAGCAAAGGATTTCATTTTAAATTTTATCGCCTCTATAGCAACGTATGGTGGCTGCAGAGTGAGAAATAGGTGATCGTAATCACGCCTTCTTATAGAAGTTCGTGACCCCACATGCATCACTGACCGCCATGTTTAATCGCGGCTTAGCAACCAAACGAGGAAGAGGTGCGAAACGGAAAACTGGAACTGGAACTGGAACTGGAACCGGAACCGGAACTGGATCAGGGACCTCTGGAAATTATTTGAAATTTTATCCTCAATATTTTGGGACTCTATGCAATCTAGCAGAAGAGGGCATTCCTTTTACATTACCTTTCCAAATGTGTCTTTCTCTCAAGTTTTGAAGTACAGAAGTTTTTATTTTTTTAAATCCTTCAAAACGTCCACGCTTCCGTAACGCTCTGTCTTATGACGCTGCGAAAAGGATTTTCATTAAATAGGAGATAGATTATACACTCATATACATAACATCCTTATGTCTTAAGCGAAAAACTGTGACCATCTTTCCACTGACAAAATCTGTATCCCGCAAGCTAAATTAACGATTTTCAAATTTATCACGGAAATATGCTTGTCGCAGTATTCGGATTATTTGCTTCGTTAAATGAATGAGGGAGAGGAGGTAGGGTATGATAATGTCTGAGTTTCAAACAAGGGAATATCAGATTAGATTAATTTCATTTTCGAATATAGATATTTTTGAGAAAGACTTGAACCAAGAATAAGACTAAGATACTGCATACTGTTTCTTTTTTTTTGTCTTGTATTGGTTCTTTGGTTGTTTTTTTTTTTATTACTATTATAATTTTTTTGTCCGGGAAGAGGAAGCGCAAAGCGTCCGAGTTTCTAAAACCCCACAGCTCCCATTTCGATCATGTTCTAAAGAGATCTACAAAGAAAATAAAAAATTATGTGAATGGACTCAGTATTTGCAGCCTAACGGTTAAGTAAATGCAAGGTTATGAGAATTACCAAAAAGAGATCCCCTTTTACCCACGACTGTGATGGGACTAAACTCGATTCGGTTTCTTTGCATAGAGACCTGGGCTTGTTAACTAGTGATGTTCTCTCTTGGAATTACCATATTGCCAATATTACAGCTAAGGCAAATAGTATTTTAGGCCTTATCAAAAGAACACGTCGGGATGTCAATGATGTCACAACTCTTAAGACTCTGTATTGTAGTCTTGTGAGGCCTAAGGTTGAATATGCCTCTCAGGTGTGGAATCCTTATACGAAGAGTAACAGTCGTGTAGAGTCAATTAAAAGAAGGGCAACCAAATTTATTCTTAAAAGTGATGACAATTATTTGCTTAGTCTACGTGAACTCCGCTTGTTATCTTTAGAGGATAGGAGATTTATTGCGGATGTTGCTTTGTTTTATAAGGTGGTTAATAATCATGTTTGCTCGACCCTTGATTCTAGGGTTCAGTTCTCTAGGGATGTCGACAGGGGATATGCATTGAGAAGTATGGATACTCCAAACCTTTTAACCAGCTTTTCTAGGACTAATTTATTTGAATTTAGCTTTATGAGGAGAATAGTTGGGGAATGGAATAGTCTCCCTCTTGATATTGGAGAAGCATCATCCGTGGCAGACTTTAAGTTGAAGGTTTCTACATTTTTAACTGAATTTCTGTATATACATTTTTTATTATTATTATTTTTTTATGTGTGTATATTAGTAGGTTGGAGTTTCCTCCTAGAATGGTGCTGCGGCACTTTTTGAGGATTCTTCCCATTTCAACACATTATCACGTAAATATTTTTATTGTTGTTGTTGTTGTTGTTGTTGAAATAAAGCTTAATAAAGTAAAGTCAAGTTTCTTCAGTTAGAGTCTTATGGACTAGTATTCCATTTGTGTTCGAACTTGTTCGATGTCTTGTTACCATGCAACGATCTTACCTTCTGTTGTTTGACTTTTTGGTTATTTAATTTTACGTGTCCAGGAAAAATTTACTTTTCCGAAAAAATTGAAAGATTCTGAGTGTTCTTGAAAATAAAAACACTTTGTCGGTTTATTCCAAGAACCCTATAAGTTCACAGTCTCGTTCGGTTCCCATATTTCCTCGAAGAAGCGTGACTCTAGTAACGAGATTACAGCAAACAAGATGGCGGCACGCTCTGTGGTGGTTGGCGCAGTCGTTGCGGTAATTGCAGTTCTTTACGGAGGTAGAATATATGTTCAGGGACCTCGTTGCCAGAGTAATAAACAACTCAAGGGAAAAACTATTGTTATAACGGGTGGTAATACTGGAATTGGTAAAGAAACGGCGGTCGACTTGGCCGCACGTGGTGCGAAAGTAATCATCGGTTGCCGCAACTTAGAGAAAGGACAGGCAGCAGTACAAGAGATTCAAACGCGAAGTGGAAACGGAAACGTCTTTGTCGAGAAACTGGACCTATCATCTTTAGCTTCTGTGCGACAGTTTGCCAACGGAATTCTGAAAAACGAGTCACATTTAGACATTCTTATAAACAACGCAGGAGTGATGGGTTGTCCTTACCAAATAACAGAAGATGGGTTGGAAATGCAGTTTGGAGTGAACCACATAGGGCATTTTCTCTTAACTTTGCTTCTCCTTGATTTAATGAAAAAATCGGGTTCAAGCCGAATCATAAATGTGTCTTCTTTGGCTCATAGGTTCGGGACTGGTGTTATAAACTTTGATGATATCAATGCTGAGAAGGATTACGAACCCTTCGCAGCGTATCAACAAAGCAAGCTTGCTAACATACTCTTCACAAGGGAACTAAGTGTGCATCTCGAGGACACTAACGTGACAGTGAATGCACTCCACCCAGGGCTGGTTAACACAGAGATCCAACGTCACTCTTTTATTTCCAGTTTAGTATTTTTTCCACTCCGCTGGTATTTTTTCAAGACTGCAGAACAGGGAGCCCAGACCACCATTTACTGTGCAGTGTCAGAGGAAATGGAAGGAGTTAGTGGTAAATACCTGGCAGACTGTGCGTTTAGAACCCCTTCTGTAGGTGCACAGGATGAGGAAGCTGCAAGAAAATTGTGGGATATGAGCTTAAAGTTTGTTGGACTAGAGGACTATGAGATCTAATATAACTCTTTAGCTTGTATGTTTTGTTTACCCATATTTCAGGTCATGCGATAATATTCTGTAGAACTGTGATAGTATAGTCTAGTCATCTGGGTGAGTGTAGTCCTGAGAAGGACTGTTGTCAATAGTAGTGGCTGATGCTTCAACAACCTGAAAAGAGATCATTATCAGAGTCAAAACTAGAGAACTGTGTGCACAATTAACACAAGAAAAAGCTGGGAATTCCCTTAAGACCTGAAATGGGTAAATAAAACATACAAGTCCTTTACTCAAACCCTTCCAGAGAGTTGAACAAGGCACTTTTCACCATCTGTGAAATAGGCTGAGGCTTAGCCAATCAAAAAGATCATTCACATTGTGATTTGTCATCTAGGTCTTAATAACTGGGTTACAATTTGAACTAAACTAGGACCTACACATATCAGACTAACATCCAAACATCCAAAACCATGTGATGCTACTTCATCTACCAATATTGATTTATCAATAGTTATGATGTGAGTACCTTTTTTTCCAAATTTTATTTATGGATATGTTATATCATCAACACAGTTATAATGAACTCTGCAATTCTATCGTATCAAAGTTTTTCTTTTTTTTGGGGGGGGGGGAGAGGGGAAATGACAATGTACTGGCTCACTGTTGATCAGTTTTGCACCAGTGCATATCTTTTTGTACCCTTGTATCCCTCTGTTTCTAATAAATTTATTTGCTTTCCCAAAAAGTTAAGTGATCTTTTCATGGAAGCATTTCTAAAATCTACTTCAAGTTATCATTTCTGAAATCTGGTAGCTTTTGCATTTTAAGACCTCTATAGTTATGGTAGTTGCAGTGCTACATCCTAACTCCTACCAAACTATCCTCACCAATGTCTATGAGGAGGATTTAAGTTCTTAATTTTTGCCCTCCCTTTCAAATGAACTAATGGGGTTTAACCCTTTACACACTAACATCAGTATGCATATTCTCCATACTGTTCTCTATACAATTCCTATGGACCTTTACACACTAACATCAGTATACATATTCTCCATACTGTTCTCTATACAATTCCTAAGGACCTTTACACACTAACATCAGTATGAATATTCTCCATACTGTTCTCTATACAATTCCTAAGGACCTTTACACACTAACATCAGTATGCATATTCTCCATACTGTTCTCTATACAATTCCTAAGGACCTTTACACACTAACATCAGTATGCATATTTTCCATACTTTTCTCTATACATCTCTTTAAGATGCTGACACGGAGAACTTGTTTATAATTCTAGGTTCATAAATAATTTTAATATTTAATTTTTGATTCCTAAATACACGACCCCACCAGCTCTGCTGAATACTCCATCATGTTTAAATAAAGTGTTCAGTTCAGCTCAGTCAAAAGCTTGTTTTAGTTGGTGATCATTTCCTTTATTCTCTTTACCTTATAAAGTGTGATTAAGTGGTGATTTTGATAACTTGTGTTAGCTGGCCTTTACAGTCTGACACAGGTTATGGAGACATGTCATCATACCTTAAACTCCCTCCACCTTTCGTGGATATTAGGATGGACAGATTGTTTGCTGTTCTCTTGGATTCGTAGCCATCTTGCTTGAGGCATGTGTTAGGCTGTCGGTTATCACACTTGAATCAAATGTTAAGGTCGCAAGAATAAATGATCACCATCTTGAGGAGCTCTCGATTGTGTAACAAATTCTCTTCGAAAATGTGTAGAGAACTGTGTGGAGAATATGCATATTTATGTTAAGATGTAAAGAATTAAATGGAAACGAGCAAGATGCTGAAAAGCGGAACACGGTAGTATCGTCTCCCGGCACTGACTGCTAGGTTAGAACAGGCGGTCTTTTGGCTACAAAGTAGTTTAGTTACTAGCTTTTTTCTTTATTACAAACCTTTCTGATAGATAAAGCGTTTCTACGAGACCTTAAAAAATTTACGTATTGAACAGCTGGGAGCCCTCCTTGAGAGGAAAAAGAAGGTCACCGGCGATTAGATAGGGTTATCCACGCTAAATTGTAAGTAATATTTTTCGTTGTTTATG